TTTTTAACTGTATGTCGGGCTATTTAAAGCGTATTTATTTTCTCCAAATTAATTGAACTTTACAGTTTCTCAGCCCAATTTTTTTTTCTGCCAGGATTTACAACACTTCTGAGTCTTTTAAATTTTAATCCGTAAAAGTGTTCGGCATCTACTAATAACTTGAAACTTTTGGTGCAATAATTCAGAGGTACTGTGCAATGATTCATTTAAAAAATTGCTTTTAAATGCTATTAGCTGAAAGTAATGCTTTGGCAAACTTCTGCTGCTGTTGCTGCATATTTGAAAAAAGGTGAAAAAAAAAATTCAGAAATTATTTTAACGCTGCCCAGTAAGAAAAAAAGAAACGGTTTTAGTTTTATGATTCATAAAGAACTGAATTCAAATTAATTTCATTTTCAACAAAAATTTACATCTAATTTACTTCAAAAAAGTGTCATTTATTTATTTCTCTCCATCCACTTCTAGCCCCCATCTCCACACCTAGTCCCCCCTTCTCCGTTCCCCCTATGCCAAAAAAAAAAATAGAATTATAACGAAACTTAGCTGTATTTTAGTCAATAGGTCTATACATGCAACATTCAGACACTGTACAGATAGATCAGAAAAAGAAATTAATTTTGTTGTTTAAATTTTCAAAAATCACTAAGCCATTTCAGCGAAAGGTTTCAGCATTTGCAAAGCAAGACGAACAAAAAAAAAAAGAAGAAAAAATCTGATGGACTGGTACAGTATTTCAATAAACCTTCAGCTTCGACAGTTTTCAATTTATCTCAGTAAGAACTACTTTTTATTCTGCTATTATAGTGCATCAATTCAAAGTAAAAGAAAAACAAATTTTTGATGACCGATGTTTTGTTTTCTTTATTATTTTTGTCTCTTTTTTACATAGCTTTTTTTCACTTACCATTCTTTATTACAGAACTATAAAATTTTACTGTTTAATCACGCTCATTTTTGTTCAGAAGCTGCCAAATTTTTTTACAGTATCTGCCAGTAAGTTGTGGTAATAAAAAAGAGGCCTAACCTTACCGAATAACTGTCGACTAAGCATTAAATTTAGTGCGATGTTTGAACAAATTAAACTAGTTAATACTGAGAAGAAACTTTCACTTTTTTTGTTTAATTTTTTGTTTTGTTTTTTTACCTCTTTTTGTGATGTACATTTCCTTTTTTTGCACATATAAAGCAAAGAAAAAATTTTTTTATTTTCTTGGCGTATTCATTATTGCATACGTTACGTTGAAAATCGAAATTATAAATATATGAAGTATGTGAGGACAGTTAGCTGTTATAAACTCGGCTTATTAGATAATCTAAAATGTAGTTCAGCATTACCAGCTATGCTTCTACAGTGACGGTGGAGAAATTGTTAAAGAATCTGTTGAAATTGACTAATAATTTTGTCAGTTGATCGTTATTCTATTTTAGCTCTTCTATTTTCAGCTCTTGAATCTTTAATCAGTCTTATCATTATCTTTTTTTTGAGCCAAAAATACTGCTGTACTGCAAAATACCGTTAGAAATAAAGGACAACAAAATGAAATTTGGCTAACTAAGAATTAGTTCTGTCTTTAACTGTTGTATTCATACTTGTCTATTAATTTTTATTTGTGTTATCACATCACAAAATCCACTTTTAAATGCTATTTAGCAGAAGTTCTGACGCATAGTATCTTTAGCATCATACTGATATCTGGTTGTTTAGATGCTAAACCTTATATCATAATTATCAGCTGTAATATCTGTCAATTATTCACCAACCATCAAGAGACATTAACTGTGCTTAAAAGTTATTGCTTTCCTTCAGTGCTATTATGATCAAAATCTAAACGGAAAGAAACAAAAATCAGCTTTGACAAGAGTACATATAGTTTTCTGCCAACACTTTCAGCGCAGTTGAGTTTTTTTGTAAATGATAAAATTTTTTGCTGAAAATTTGTTAGTCATTTAAATTTATATTTTTATACTTTTTTGCTGCTTACCACCTATTACAGTTCTTCTTGCATTTTTTTATTTCTTTTTTTTTTCTTAATCGACGTACTCAATACGGAACCCACAAAATCAAAGCCCAAATACAAATGCTGATACTGCCGAAATGCATATTAGAGTTTCTTTTTTATTTTTTCCACATTAAATACATTTTACGTAATTTGAACTTCTTTTTTGACGTTGTTTTCTTGCCTAGTCCAAGAATACATTAGATTCTTAGAGTTTTAAGGTGGCATTGATTACTACGATTACGGCTAAACTCAACCTATCAATCTGTTAGCATTCTGCAGTCGGAATCATGAAAATTTATTTAGCTGCTGTTATTGTTAGTATACTTTTATTATATGTAAGCACTACTTACAGATTAGCCAGTTTTTTATTATTGTTTGGAAATTTTTGTTGTTAATTAGTACTAAAAAAAGCTCTTTTTTTCTAAACTTTTTTTTTCATGATTTATTTTTCCGTCATAGCACACTTGTAAATTTTTACAGCCTGAAAAGAGCGAAGAAAAAGAGCTTGAAAAAGGAGGAGGAACAGGAACAGAACGCCAAGCGAAACAAAAAAACACAGGAGCAAGGTATTTGTATTTATTTAATTTCATTCATTTAATTAATTGTTCTTTCTGTTTTCAAGACTTATTTTCTGGAATTGTTTGATGACTAAATTAGAAACATTTTTTTTTTGATTAAAGTTGATTTTGAAATTCATGCAACAACTCTTCACGCTCAAATTTTTTTAACTAATATAACTTCAGTTCAAGCGGCGAACCCGGTTTGATGTCAAAAGTTGCTGATAATGTCAAGTCATTTTTCTCAGATACGCTTAATGTAATGTGCTTTCTCTTCATTTTTCTGCTTGAAATTTTCATTTTTGTTTCCTAATAACCCTAGTAAGCGAAAGAGTAGAGGCATTTATTCAACTGTACTTAACTCTATCGATGAACAACTTACAGCGAAGAGAACTAGCTAGTTGAAATAACTAGCAGTAATTCTTCGAAAGTTATTAAAATTTAAATTAAGTGTTTAGATGTTAACTACAATTTGAAATTGGCAGCAAACGTCTTGTCAAAACAGAAAAAATGCTTTCTCTTAACAAGTTGTCACTTAACTTGCAGAAATTACTGTTCTTTTTCTATCTCAGATGCCTAACTTCTCCATCGCATATGAAAATTTCTTATGCATTGAAAAAGTCTCAATTTCTGAGACAGAAATAATAGGTCTTCAAAAATTGAGATAAAAATTTTTGGCAATAACTTATTTTTAGGTCACTTCTGCATCTTTCTTAATTAACTTCTTGTTCTACTACAGTTTAGTTCAAATGCCTTGACTGATTCAGAAAAAGAACATATTTTATGTCCTTATAAAACACTGTTAAACGGTCTTTTAATTCTTAGATTTCTCACAGTAAAGTGAAAATAAGTACATGGTTGCGACAATCTGATTTTACATTAATTGAAATGTTAAGTGAGAACGAAACTTAGTTTTTAGAAAAATCATATTTAAGTTGGATGCTCGCAGCTTTCAGTACTTAAGCTTTCTTTCTATAAAACCAAAATTAGACAAACAAAAAGTTTTGGACTGCAACTTTATCAGTAATAGCTTATTTTTTATAATTACCACAGTATGAAAGATTGAAATATCTACACCTAAAGTTGATATGACGATCAACGAAAAGCTTATGCACAAAACTTGTTTACTTTCAATGCTTTTCAAAATGAGTCCTCATTTTAAGTGACTGTTAAAAAGAGCTACTAAAATTTCGATTGCTAAAAGCAAGTTTTGCAGTTCTTCCATCAGCTTGGAAGAAGGGGTATTGAGACGTCTCGAACGATATCAAGCGGTATTCTTGGAACTGGTAGTTCTAACAGCAAAAAGTGATAGATAAAAAGAATGTCAAGTAATGTAAATCACTTGAAAGTTTAGCAGTTATAACGTTGTCATCAGCATTCAGTTATGTAATAATAAATTGTCTGAAAAAATTTCAAAAGCAGCCATATGATTCGGATTATTAAAGAAATTCTGTTATAGTGTCGGAATTGTTACACACGTAAAAGCGAAAAAATAATCATCGAATGTTTATGACATTTCTTAGCAGCAACTTTTTTGAAACTAATTAGGTTGTTACCAAAAAAAAAGCGGAAAATTACAAAATAGTCAAAATTAGTCACCAAAGAAATCCGTTCATTTATTTGCTTTAACTTTTTTTTAAACGTTTAAATGACACAACAATAAGTGAAGCATAAAAAATTTATCGCATTTTTATCGACTTATTTTCCAATCGAAGACAAAAGTAACTTTTTTATAATTATGTGCATTATATATTATATTTACTTAATTATTTATTTTTACTCATTTAAATTAATTATTTATCCAGTCGACAAAAATCTG